AAAACAGTGCTTCATCTATATTCTTCTCATGCCGGCCAAGCGTGATCGGCGCGTAAGACGTGTAATGCGAATTTTTCGTATATGGAGACAGGGGTGGAGTCACCCTTACGCTAGGGTGGGCTCCAGCCCCATGTCCCAAAAAAAAATAAAAGTATTTGATAACTTTATTTTTTAAAAAGTTTTATACATAGGCCTACATAATTTTTTATGTAGCCCCATTTAATTTTGGGGGCTAGATGCTTTTTTTTTATCTGACAACAATGATGGAAAAATGATGATTGTATTGAGAGGAAAAAAGATAGTCCTTCATTGTCAAATGAAATTTGTGACCTTATTAGATTTTTATCAATTCGGTTTATAATGTGGTCCAACACACTCTTGCCTTTTAAAATTATAATACGTTGATTTGACAAGTACCAAATGAGTTGGATAATTAAGTTTAATGCGGGCTATTTAATTGGATTCGTCTCATTGCACAATCCGTTCTTCATTTTTATTTTTTTTATTTTTTTTATTTCGCCTCCAATAATTAATTCAGCCTCATTTCCTAGACAAATAAAAACTCTTACAGAGTTGATTGCAAACATGTTAAACTCTATTTGTTTGATCGACAAGTTCGATCGATTAGCTATTTGAGTGTGGCTTGTTTAAATACCTAAGTGAGTCGAGATTGAGTTTTCCCAATTCAAATCGAAATATGTTAACAGATAATTCGGTTCTAATCATAACCAAAATTGGTTACGGGTCGAAACTGTCGATCCTGGGCAAGAGTTGGAGGGCCCTGAACCGGCACGAATATATGCACAGGCCGGTTCATTGAATTGTCGGTTCTTGGCCGTCCGATTCATTAAAAAAATAAATAATTAGAAATGATATTTTTTTTTTAAAAAAAAGGCCGAACCTTCGATTCCGGTTCCAGTTCGGAACCGAAACTGCTGGTTCAAAATGTACAAACTATAAAGTATTGTACATGAACCAAATTGGTCAAAACCACGGGCCGGTTCAAGACCCATGGTCAGCGGGCCGGCCGAACCGACAAGTTGGGTCGGCCCATTACTATGTCTACTCGGTACAAATAATTGCTACAATATTATACAGTCCCGGGTTAAAAAAATTTCTGCCTACATCCTAGACTGAATGTGCAAAAGTTGGTGTTTTTTTTTTCCTCATAAATTAGCATATCTAAAATAGTAAGTCTTCCACATATCTAACCGCTAGGCTTATTTATATATTAAGATATATAAATATTCATACTTTTATGCACACTATAACTAAAATAACATAAAAGAGTATGACATTTTTCGATACAAACATGTACTTTTACTAAAAAAAAATGATAAGTTGACCTGTATAACTATCAGACTGCCTCATATAAAAATTTTATGATATAAAAATATTTTTTTTTTAAGTTCTCTATTATCAATATATACTTACTATGTCAAAAGAGGGAAAAATACCAAAAAAAAAAATCATGCTATGAGATGCAATTGAGAAATAGGACTAAAGCAATTGATTCACATGTGATGGATTCAAATACCTTTTTGAAGAACAAAAGAAGAGGAAGATATGTTTTTTATTTTTTAGCTTCATCAAAAAAGAGCTAGAAATAATGGAGGAAACTAACCGTAAATGTGAAGGTAGAGACCTCAACCGAGGTCATTGCATTGAAATTGCAGTTGGGCACAGCCGTGTAGAGCATACATATGAACGACTGCCATTGATTCCGGCTAAGGGAATCACCCACAAACATTATACTCTTCCCTTTGTATTGCCTTAATAATTGAACTCCATCAAATCTATTAGACAAAATTTCTATAAAATTATAAAAAAAAAAAAAAACATTTTAATTTTTTAAGACATGGTACTAATAATAAAATCATCTACTTGTCATGAGTTAAAAACAAACAGTAAGAAATCAAGCAAATGAAACCATATATTATTAGTGTAAGAAGTTATGTACCTCCATCATGTGAGGTGCCTCATGACACACTCATTAATCAATTAGAGGTCCCATGTTGTGAGGTGACCCATCATTAAAATATAATTTCTTTCACCACCTAATTATTCATCACTTTTGGAGAATGTATATCAACTAGGCCTTGAGTCCATATTTTTTCTTTGGCTATTTCTTACATACACTTACATTTATCACAAAATTATGTGTGATTTTGACCTAATTATTAGGTGAATCGATGATTATTTTTTTTTTAATAAAAATATGCTACGAGATGTTTATATTTTTTTATTTTGTAGAATACAGATTTTAAGTTTGAAAGTATACATCTTTGTGAAACTTTCTAAATACAATTTTACCGTAGATTTATTTGAATTGTTTCTAAAATATCGGTATTAATTCAGAATTCTAACAGATAACCAGTTACACACAAAAAAAAAAAAATCATATTTTAATCCAAACAAAGATTCTGATAAATAATATTAAATTAAAAGTTCAACTCATTGGAGGCATTTTTCATTTTTTGTAATGTTAATTTTACTAATAACTAGGCACACAAAACACAGTTACAACAACAAATACAGTGGGATCAGCATTAAGACATGACCCACCGTGAATGTTTTATCATAATTTACTGAAAACAAGTAGGAATCTATGTCAGGCTCCCAACTATAAACTTGTTAAAAATATAACTCATATAAAGAGAGGAACAAATATTAATTGAAAAATATTATACATTAAACTAGAAATGTATTATTTAATTTCTTAATATACTTAACTTTGAAACGAAAGTTCTAACAGTAAGACTGATTAAATAAATATAGTTTGTCAGCAGATAAATTATCAAACTTAAAAAACATTATATATTATTTTATAATATAAATAAAAATATGATAATTTACAGTATAAATATATATTTTGATTGGCTCAAGTTACCAAGTAGGTCTAAAAAAGTCGTGGATTTTCTGGCGAAGGTCTGAAATTGACAACTGTGGATTGACCAATTGCCAGCGGTAAATTCACGGGACCAAATTAAAAGCACACATTACATAGTTTGTCACTTTCACCACGCAATTCTTTTAATTGCACTTTAGTAGTATTAAACTATTTTTTTTCGTACATTTACTCCATAAACTAATCAAACTTACTTATTTTAATAGATATTGAATAATATGTTCGAAAATGCATAAATAGTAGGACATTGAGTTTGTTAAACAAGTAGAATCATGTAGAGTTCGGTTTAGACGGCTGAGTTCGAGCCAATAATTTGAATTGTTTCTAAAGCCAGCCGAGCTGGCTCATTTATTGAACTAATACTACCATGGCCGGCTCTAGGGGAGGCACCATAGGCCCATGCCTAGGGCCTCCAATTTTTAGGGGTCTCAATTTTTTTTTTTTTTAATGTTTTATATATTTGTGTTTGGTTTTGTTTATTTATACAAATAAAGGGGTTAATGGCTAAATATGAACTTAGCCTATTACACACATCAAGAGGCTAATTAATGAAAGGGCCAATAGCCAAATATGTACTTTGTGTAAGAATTTGAGGCCTAAATATTTTATTTGTTTTCTTATTATGTACGGTCAGAACAAGTTGTGTGAGAAAATATAAATATTTTCTCCTCCTTGATGTCTTCGTGACTGCTTGAATGCAATTTATAACTTATTAAAGGTAATTTTTTCAAAGTCTAGAAAAACAAGAAAAATTATTTTTTTCAATTATTTATTTATTTAATAATCTTCTTTAATTAGATTTTTTTCTTGTATGATTCTATCTACAAATAGCTCTACCACGCAAGTTCAAATCGAAAAATTCAAAAACGTAAAATTTGTCTGGGGCCTTCAAATTTCTGGAGACGACTCTGAATACTACCCAGTTTTTTATACATGATTTAATAAACATTATTAAACAAAACTAAAATGTTACACTTCATAAAAGGAAAAGTGAAAAAATGCAATAAAGTAAAACAAACAGAATAAAATGCGGTTAGAAGAAATAATTAAAAAAATATGTGACAAGCCAAAAAAAAAAGAATTAAAGCTAGCTATTTTACTGATTAATCCAATTAATTTAAGACGGGGAAAGCCAGAATGTTTGGTGGTACCTTGATAAGTTGCAGGCATGGGGCTGCCACCTGTACCGAAGGTATAAGTCGTCGGAGCGGCCATTTTTCCGGCAGTTGAACTCTTTCTGGATGAAGGGACAGGATGTGGAGTCGTAGGGAGGGTACAGTGAGGCGTCACGCACCCAATTCCCCTGGAACAAATCGCAGGTAATTCCTTTCTCCGCATCTGATTGGTGGATAAGAGAGTGAAGGCTTACAATAGCCAATGCCACTGCCCACACTCTCATCTCTTTCTTCTCTCTCTAAAGGGAAAAGTGGCCTTTTATATTTTTTTGTCTCTCTTTATTTAAAATTGTTTTTTGTGTATAATATATGGTAAGTTGATGTGAATTATATGAATAATATATATATATATATATATAGGTTTCAAAGGCACTATATATGCATTGAGTGAAAGTCTATACTATTGATTTTATTTTATTTTTTTATTTTTTGTCTTTGAATCTCACACACTTATAGCTAGTGCCCGGCCCGGCCCACTAACGGCTTTTGGTATAGGTATATGCTGAGCAAATGATAAAAGACTCGATGAGGACAACAGGCACGTATGTTTCGAGTTGAGACTGAAGTTGAAAGTTAAGAAGCAAACAAAATAAAATATATCATCCTATATAAATATTAAAAAAAAAAATGATGTAGTACATAGACATGGTCTCAATATTTTACAAATTTTATCACTTTTAAAATGAAAATTAATTGAAATTATGTCAAACTTTTCTATCAATGCATTTTGTATTTTTCTAAGAATTAGTGACATTAGGTAGTGATTCTTAGGACATATAATTGGTTGATAAATAATTATCTATTCTTCGTTCTTGTGAGTTCAGTATTTTCTTAACAATAATAATAATAATTATTATTATTAACAATAACAACAATAATAATAATAACAACTTCTATAATATATGCAATACTATGATACTTGGACAAAATGAATAAAGACAAACAGCACAATAATATAGAGAGAGTTCAAATTCTGTCACAATTCAACCAAATCATTTTTCTTACAAGGTACCTTTAGATCAAACAAAACATGTAACTTGTTTACTTACACATTCAGCAACAGTGAAATCTTTTCTTCTCCTTCCACAGTTCCACTGCTGCATTGTCTAAGGAGGTGAAAAANAAAAGAATACAAATCAATGTACAAAAAATCCCAACAAGATCGAGAAGAATAAAAAAAATAAAAACATTACACACAATTTGTTACAATAAAAAAAGAAGTCATTACTGATCTCTCTTTTCCCAGTAATCAGTATCCACAGTAATCGGGTAAAGATCGGCCACCGTTGATGCTGACGAGCCTGTCCACGGCACGTCAATCGATATATTTCTCGTCTCGATCTCCTCTCGATTTTTCTCCGTCTCGTCTGTTGTTACGATCGGAGTCGAAAAAGATTCTTCGAGGCCCGTTTTGCCCTCAAGAATGCTTACAACCGACGACATGTTGGGCCTTTCTGCAGCCACGGCATGCGTGCAGAGGAGGGCCAAGTGGATAACCGTCATTGCCTCTTGTTCGTTGAAGTTCGATTCTAATCTCGAGTCGACTAGCTGGATTAAGTTGCCTTGTTCCTTCAGTTTATTAGCCTGAGATGATCGACAAAACGAGAGAACAAAAGTTTATATTCTTCTGACTAGGGCTGCAAACGAACCGAGCAGCTCGAGTCAAAGCTCGACTAGAGCTCGAGTTTGACCGAACTCGAGCCGAGCTCGAGCATAGGTTTTGGAAGGTCGAGCCGCTCGCGAACAGCTCGAAAAATGTAGTGAATTACTAAAATACCCCTATATATAAATATTACAATATTTTATATATGTACTAAATGATAATTTTACTTGAAATTTTTAGTCGAACTCAAGCAATCTTTCGAGCATTTTGATTTTAATTAATATCGAGCCGATCTCGAGCGATTGTCTTATTTTGTCGAGTCGATCTCGAGCGTCATAAATCGAGCTCGAGCAGGTAAAAAAAATAAAATCAATCTTACTCGATAAGGCCAATGCTCGAGATATGTAGTGAATTACTAATATACCCCTTATATATATGTTACAATATTTTATATATGTACTTAATGGTAATTTTACTTGAAATTTGAGTCGAACTCGAGTCGAGCTCGAGCAATCTTTCGAGCATTTTAATTTCAATCGCTCGAGTCTTCTTTTGTCGAGTCAAATATCTGGAGCGTCATAAGTCGAGCTCGAGCAGGTTAAAAAAAAAAGAAAACTTGCTCGATAAGGTCAATGCTCGACTCGGCTCGGTTCGTTCCGACTCTCAGGGACATATTGTCAGACATTAAAGAAGGCAATGGTGAAAACTACAAATGAATTGTTTAATTCGTTACCCAGTCGAGAAGATAGAAAGTATCACCCTTGTACTTGTTGCTCGTATTACTGCTCCCACTCACGACTTCTAACAGAACAACTCCGAAGCTGTACACATCTGCTTTGTCCGTTAAATGGCCTCGCATTGCATATTCCGGGGCCATATATCCACTGCATAATTCATAAATAAGTAAAAAAAAAAAAAATACAGTCTCGATTAAGCATTCCAAGAAAACGAATAGATTTTTATAAAATAAGTATTTAATGGTATATATACTCACAAAGTCCCGGCAATTCGTGTGCTTATATGGGTATTATCCTCCTCGTCGAGCTTGGCAAGACCGAAATCAGATATCTTGGGCACAAGATTTTTATCGAGAAGCACGTTCGTGGCTTTGATGTCACGGTGCACGATTTTCAGTCGAGACTCTTCATGCAGATAAGCTAAACCTCTAGCTATACCGATGCAGATTTTGTGCCTTGTAGGCCAATCCAAATGCAATTGATGCTCCTCTGGACCTAAAAACCATTTATTTTGGTACATAAGCAATGATAGAGATAATACACAAAAACAATCCTCAAAGTTTAGCCTAAATGCTAAATGGTCCACATATTTTTCAAAATTACAAGCTCTGCTTTTTCATGTTACGTAAATGATCAAACTACTAAAATTGCAATTACGGTAAATTTTTCTTTTTTACACTTTTGCTTCAACTTACCGAATAATGCACGAGCAAGGCTATTGTTTTCCATATACTCGTAAATAAGAAGCAACTGATTTCCTTCTATGCAGCATCCGTATAACTTCACGAGATGAGGGTGTTGTAGAGCAGTAATCATGCCTATTTCATTTACAAATTCGCGATTTCCTTGCTTCGATTTTGAAGAAAGCTGCTTCACAGCGATTATGGTACCATCCGATAGTTTTTAACCTTGTACACAGGACCAAAGCCACCTTCACCAATTTTGTTAGCGAGATCGAAATTGTTAGTGGCAGCTTTGATTTGCCGTAGCGAAAACGAGCCTTCTAAACCCTTTAGATCTGCAAAAAGGAGTGTAATTATTTCTTTAAGTTTCTCGATGAAAACTGATTCGTACAACATTCTTAGGCTGTGTTTGGTAACTAAATAAGCTAGCTTATAGCTTATTTGGTTAGCTTTTCAAATAAGCTCGTTGAATTTTTTATTTCAACTAGCTTATCAACTAATTTTACTAAACACTTTTATCATATAAGCTAGCTTTTTTCACCTATAAGTCATAAGCTATAAGCTCGAAAATCTCTTATAAGCTATCAGCTTCTCAGCTTGTTTTGCCAAACATAGTCTTAATATAGAAACTGGTTTAGAAACATAAGCATGATTGTACGAGTAAACTAAATACAATACCTTGATGAATTGTGCCTTTGAATCTCAAACAGCCTTTCCACCAAAGAATAACCAAAACGAGCAAGATTGCAAAAGTAAGTCCTAATACTATACCAGCTATAGAACCTCCCGATATGCTGCTGCTTCCATTTTCCGATGGTGGTTTATAATCTGAATAAATTTGATAGAACAGAAATAAGAGATTTATGTTAAAATGATAAAGAAACACTAAAAATGAAAGAAACAAAAAAGAAGCATTTAGCTAAAATTATCAAGAATGGATTATTTTTCGAGCCACTCTAATCCCAAGAAGAATTTCCAACTTACTAGGCTCGACAGATATGGCCGAAATAAGAGGACCATACACGCCTCGAACAGGAATACCATTTGTCCCTTTACCAGCCCAATAGAAACGAATATCCCAAGTAGTATCATTAACAACTGCAGTAAAGTTTCTAGTAATTGGTCTGTTAACTCCACCTGCTTCTCTTTCAATGTCGAAATCTTTCAGCACCAGCCTCCCCTGATAAAGTTCGTTTCAGAAGGAAAAAATATTTAAACAATTTAGTATAAGTTTTAGTTCGTGTAATACGTGAGCTGTTCGCATATGATGCTACTCATTATTTTTCACAAATTAGTACAAGTTTTAGTACATGTCAACCTTTAGTTCATTTTTTTTTACGAGTAAACAAATTTAAACTCTAGCCATCGTGCTTGCTTCTTATACCTACCAAATTTTCTTCTTCATCCTTGGATAACAATGAATAAAATCAATGCTAAATGCATAACGAAAAATCGGATCATGATTTCTTTTTAGAATCCATATTTTTATCAACTAATATTCCAAATTAACTTAGAAACAAAACTTCACAAATTTACTAATTTTCACTTCTTTTATTGCAAAATGCTATGCTTACTTCTTTTATTGTGAAATATTCACTAGTGATATATTTTTTTTTTTATACGAATAAACAACTTTAAACTCTATCCATCGTACTTGCTTCTTCTTATACCTACCAAACTTACTTGTTCATCCTTGGATAAGAATGAATCAATGCTAAATGCATAACAAAAAATTGGATTATGATTTCTTTTAGAATTCTAAATTTTTATTAACTAATATTCTAATTTCACTTCATTTATAGCAAAATGCTATGTTTACTTTTTTTATTGTGAAATATGGACTACAGTGATTTGCAAATATTCACTTCTTTTCATTGAAAAGTACTGTCCACCGTGATGTGTATACTCGTATGTATACATATATATATAAGTAAAAAAAATGAACACTCAATTGAGTGAGAAGCAAAGTTTTTGGTTTTACCTGAATGTAGACATCGAACAAACGCCGGCCGAGGCTACCATAAGTCCGGTCGTTTGTAAAAATGATCTCGGCAAAGTGAAGGGTAACAGTGTAATTTCCATTTCTCAAACAGAACCCATAATAAGTCAAAGAGAGTGGGGAAAGGCGTGCATCCATGTACAGCTCGGGATTCTCTCCCATCATAACCGAGCTGTTTGACCATATAAACGAGTCTCTTGGTCGATCGTCGTCCAAGAAATGGCCCGTGCTGCTAAATCCCCAGTTTGTCCTGCTCAGAAAGAAATTCGAGGGCCCACCGGAATTCGAATCCTCTTCGTAAATAGTGTTTCTATTATCCACTACACGCCTTCCACCACAGTTAATGTGGAGCGAGTAGTACTCTGAAAAAGAT